GGATCTCATTCAGATTTGATGGAGAAATTAAAACCTTTACAGACAAGCAAAAGCTGAGAGAGTTCAGCACCACCAAACCAGCTTTACAACAAATGCTAAAGGAACTTCTCTAGACAAAAACACAAGAGAAGGAAAAGTCCTATAATAACGAACCCAAAACAATTTAGAAAATGGGAATAGGAACATACATATCGATAATTACCTTAAATGTAAATGGACTAAATGCTCCCACCAAAAGACACAGATTGGCTGAATGGATACAAAAACAAGACCCATATATATGCTGTCTACAAGAGACCCACTTCAGACCTAGAGACACATACAGACTGAAAGTAAGGGGATGGAAAAAGATATTCCATGCAAATGGAAACCAAAAGAAAGCTGGAGTAGCAATTCTCATATCAGACAAAATAGACTTTAAAATAAGGACTATCAGAAGAGACAAAGAAGGACACTACATAATGATTAAGGGATCGATCCAAGAAGAAGATATAACAATTGTAAATATTTATGCACCCAACATAGGAGCACCTCAATACATAAGGCAAAAACTAGCAGCCATAAAAGGGGAAATCGACAGTAACACATTCATAGTAGGGGACTTCAACACCCCACTTTCACCAATGGACAGATCATCCAAAATGAAAATAAATAAGGAAACACAAGCTTTAAATGATACATTAAACAGGATGGACTTAATTGATATTTATAGGACACTCCATCCAAAAACAACAGAATACACATTTTTCTCAAGTGCTCATGGAACATTCTCCAGGATAGATCATATCTTGGGTCACAAATCAAGCCTTGGTAAATTTAAGAAAATTGAAATTATATCAAGTATCTTTTCCGACCACAACGCCATGAGATTAGATATCAATTATAGGAAAAGAGCAGTAAAAAATACAAACACATGGAGGCTAAACAATACACTACTTAATAACGAAGTGATCACTGAAGAAATCAAAGAGGAAATTAAAAAATACCTAGAAACAAATGACAATGGAGATACAACGACCCAAAACCTATGGGATGCAGCAAAAGCAGTTCTAAGAGGGAAGTTTATAGCAATACAAGCCCACCTTAAGAAGCAGGAAACATCTCGAATAAACAACCTAACCTTGCACCTCAAGCAATTAGAGAAAGAAGAACAAAAAAACCCCAGAGTTAGCAGAAGGAAAGAAATCATAAAAATCAGATCAGAAATAAATGAAAAAGAAATGAAGGAAACAATAGCAAAGATCAATAAAACTAAAAGCTGGTTCTTTGAGAAGATAAACAAAATAGATAAACCATTAGCCAGACTCATCAAGAAAAAAAGGGAGAAGACTCAAATCAATAGAATCAGAAATGAAAAAGGAGAAGTAACAACTGACACTGCAGAAATAAAAAAAATCATGAGGGATTACTACAAGCAACTCTATGCCAATAAAATGGACAATCTGGAAGAAATGGACAAATTCTTAGAAATGCACAAACTGCCAAGACTGAATCAGGAAGAAATAGAAAATATGAACAGACCAATCACAAACACTGAAATTGAAACTGTGATTAAAAATCTTCCAACAAACAAAAGCCCAGGACCAGATGGCTTCACAGGCGAATTCTATCAAACATTTAGAGAAGAGCTAACACCTATCCTTCTCAAACTCTTCCAAAATATAGCAGAGGGAGGAACACTCCCAAATTCCTTCTGTGAGGCCACCATCACCTTGATACCAAAACCAGACCAGGATGTCACAAAGAAAGAAAACTAGAGGCCAATATCACTGATGAACATAGATGCAAAAATACTCAACAAAATACTAGCAAACAGAATCCAACAGCACATTGAAAGGATCATACACCATGATCAAGTGGGGTTTATTCCAGGAATGCAAGGATTCTTCAATATACGTAAATCTATCAATGTGATAAACAATATTAACAAATTGAAGGAGAAAAACCATATGATCATCTCAATAGATGCAGAGAAAGCTGACGACAAAATTCAACACACATTTATGATAAAAACCCTGCAGAAAGTAGGCACAGAGGGAATTTTCCTCAACATAATAAAGGCCATATATGACAAGCCCACAGCCAACATCATCCTCAATGGTGAAAAACTGAAAGCATTTCCACTAAGATCAGGAACAAGACAAGGCTGCCCACTCTCACCACTCTTATTCAACATAGTTTTGGAAGTTTTAGCCACAGCAATCAGAGACGAAAAGGAAATAAAAGTAATCCAAATTGGAAAAGAAGAAGTAAAGCTGTCACTGTTTGCCGATAACATGATACTATACATAGAGAATCCTAAAGATGCTACCAGAAAACTACTAGAGCTAATCAATGAATGTGGTAAAGTAGCAGGATACAAAATTAATGCACAGAAATCTCTGGCATTCCTATATACTAATGATGAAAAATCTGAAAGTGAAATCAAGAAAACACTCCCATTTACCATTGCAACAAAAAGAATAAAATATCTAGGAATAAACCTACCTAAGGAGACAAAAGACCTGTATGCAGAAAATTATAAGACACTGATGAAAGAAATTAAAGATGATACAAAGAGATGGAGAGATATACCATGTTCTTGGAGTGGAAGAATCAACATTGTGAAAATGACTATACTACCCAAAGCGATCTATAGATTCAAGGCAATCCCTATCAAACTACCACGGCATTTTTCACAGAACTAGAACAAAAATTTTCACAATTTGTATGGAAACACAAAAGGCCCCGAATAGCTAAAGCAATCTTGAGAACGAAAAACAGAGTTGGAGGATTCAGGCTTCCTGACTTCAGACTATACTGCAAAGGCTACAGTAATCAAGACAGTATGGTACTGGCACAAAAACAGAAAGATAGATCAATGGAATAGGATAGAAAGCCCAGAGATAAACCCATGCACATATGGTCACCTTATCTTTGATAAAGGTGGCAGGAATATACAGTGGAGAAAGGACAGCCTCTTCAATAAGTGGTGCTGGGAAAATTGGACAGGTACATGTAAAAGTATGAGATTAGATCACTCCCTAACACCATACACAAAAATAAGCTCAAAATGGATTAAAGACCTAAATGTAAGGCCAGAAACTATCAAACTCTTAGAGGAAAACATAGGCAGAACACTCTATGACATAAATCACAGCAAGATCCTTCTTGACCCATCTCCTAGAGTAATGGAGATAAAAACAAAAATAAACAAATGGGACCTAATGAAACTTCAAAGCTTTTGCACAGCAAAGGAAACCATAAACAAGACCAAAAGACAGCCCTCAGAATGGGAGAAAATATTTGCAAATGAATCAACTGACAAAGGATTAATCTCTAAAATTTACAGGCAGCTCATGCAGCTCAATAACAAAAAAATAAACAACCCAATCCAAAAATGGGCAGAAGACCTAAATAGACATTTCTCCAAAGAAGATATACAGACTGCCAACAAACACATGAAAGAATGCTCAACATCATTAATCATTAGAGAAATGCAAATCAAAACTACAATGAGATATCATCTCACACCAGTCAGAATGGCCATCATCAAAAAATCTAGAAACAATAAATGCTGGAGAGGGTACTACTGGGCATATACCCTGAGAAAACCATAATTCAAAAAGAGTCATGTACCAAAATGTTCATTGCAGCTCTATTTACAATAGCCTGGAGATGGAAACAACCTAAGTGCCCATCGTCGGATGAATGGATAAAGAAGATGTGGCACATATATACAATAGAATATTACTCAGCCATAAAAAGAAACGAAATTGAGCTATTTGTAATGAGGTGGATAGACCTAGAGTCTGTCATACAGAGTGAAGTAAGTCAGAAAGAGAAAGACAAATACCGTATGCTACCACATATATATGGAATTTAAGAAAAAAAAATGTTATGAAGAACCTAGGGGTAAAACAGGAATAAAGACACAGACCTACTGGAGAATGGACTTGAGGATATGGGGAGGGGGAAGGGTGAGCTCTGATAGGGCGAGAGAGAGACATGGACATATATATACTAACAAACGTTAGGTAGATAGCCAGTGGGAAGCAGCCGCATGGCACAGGGATACCGGTTTGGTGCTTTGTGACCGCCTGGAGGGGTGGGATAGGGAGGGTGGGAAGGAGGGAGACGAAGAGGGAAGAGATATGGGAACATATGTATATGTATAACTGATTCACTTTGTTATAAAGCAGAAAGTAACACACCATTGTAAAGCAATTATACCCCACTAAAGATGTTAAAAAAACCCCAAAACATTCAGAAGGTTCATATGATCATTCCAAATGAAAAGTTAACTTCTTTTTTAGTTGTTGGGTCCACTAGGTCTTTTTTCTTGGTCTGAGCAAATGCAAATTTAAGGGTAAACAGAGGAATTCACACAGACAACACTGTTACTTTCATCCTGCAATTAGTATTTTTCAGTTTAGTTTGGAAAGTTCTAAACTTCAGTGCACTCAAATATTAAATACTTCTTAGAAATAGCTTGAAATTTATTAAAAAGAAACCAAAAGCCTATTTTGCTTAGATTTCAACTTGTTACTTGATTCGGGTTTTAAATCTATTTTCAGGAAAAATACCAATAGAGCTGAAAGCACTTGACTGCAATTAGACACATAATAAAAATTATTTAACATTTGTTTCGTGTTTTGTAACTTGTAGAGGACCTTTACAAGGTTGGGTTAATTTTTAATATTGGGAAACAAGTACAGTGTAATGGAAAAAGGGTAGTAAAACAAATTTGATTAAAAAATGCAAAATGTCATAAGTTGGAAAAAATAAACATGAAGAAAAGGATTAACTGGCCACAATAAAAAATGTACATAAATAAATGTCTGGTGCACAGTGGTAATTAGTTAGCACGGTTATTATTTTTACAAGTGAATACCTATGAAATTTTACTAAGCACTAACATGAAATCTTGAATAACATCATGAGTGTTTTTAATACTAATTTCTCCATCATGTCTTCTCTAATCCTGATTTACACATTTAACCTTGTACATAATTTCTTACCTGCGGCTAGAGACACACAACACTGCTCCTTCTCTCTTGTGATTTCATTCAGCCTGCATGGTACATCCATGAGGGAAGGTGAAAGAAGTGGCAGAGAAGGGGATTTTCCTACTCCACACATTTGGACTGAACCCAGGGAAAGGTGTTTCACAAAGGTAGAACCGTTCTGAACAAAGCTGCAACAATGTTATAGAGTTCAAAATATTATATGTAGAAATACAAAATTTTTTATTATTCATTTATTTATTCAAAAAATTTTATTAGGGTAAGAACACCTAAGTTGAGACCTACCTGTGTAAAACAGATTTTTAAGAGTACAACACAATATTGTTATTTGTAGCCACAATGTTGTACATCAGATCTCAAAACTTACTCATTTTGCATACCTGAAATTTTATACCCATTGATTCAAAAATTCTTGGCAGTATTATTTTACTTGGTTTCTTCCCTTCAAAAAGTCTCTCTACACAAATGTGTAACAAATATCAGTTGAACAAAATTTTCAATTTGGATAAGGTTTCAGAACTGCTTTCATTTCACCCAGTATTCTGTCTAGCTGGCTTTAAAAGGCCTGTTGTAAAACAAATGGTAGGGCTGAAGTTTTGTTCTTTCTGAAATCATGCCCTCATTGATTTGGCAGCTCTTCACTGGTACATTCCGACCTGTGGTTTCATTTTAGGGAAATTCACCAATAAAGGTAAATTTCATTTATAATAATAGCAGAATATTTTTTCTGTTAATTAATGAAAAATTAGAAAAAATAATGCTGTGTGTAGATTTATGAAATTATATCCATTAACTTAACAAGTTAAGGAATAAATAGATAACATAAAACAATTAAAATTTCCCATCAACACGTTTTTTAGTTTTATAGAACAGATTTTAATAACTTTGTTTTTGTGTGTTCCAGATCAAAGGATGTTAATAAATTTACTATCCACTTATCAATGTTTTCAGCTCTATGCGTGTATGACAGTTCCTCATGTTTTGGTCTTTTAAGAGTGTTTAAACTGACTGTATGTGGCTTCTACACAAACATGCTTCTCTACTCAAGCTTTGCTGGATATACCTTGACATCTGCTTCCATGCTATATCCAGGAGAGTGGTATATGCACCAATTAATATAGCATCAAAGTAACATGGGATAAGGTAACGTGGGATCTGCTTCAGGTAGAAGAACATAGCCTGCAACCATTTACCAACCTGTTATAAAATAATTTTAAAAGTTAATCTGATGTGCTTATAGGCTAGGTGGATTTTAAAAGCTAAATCCAAACATGCAATTCTACTATCTAGCAATCTATTAACCAGATTTTCACTTATTAGAACTGAAAGATGATGAAGAAGGGAGGAAAATGTTTCAGTTTAGAAAATAATGTTTCAGGTTAGAAAACAATATAAATATTATATGTAGTATGTTAATATACTTCTTATTGTGCCCTTGTTTTTTTGGACTAGAATATAGCTTTACTTACTTCAGCAATTGTTCCTGACCGTGAAATAAGCCGGTTACTGACATAGTCAATCATCCAGTCTCCAGATCTCAAATTATCACAAAAGGGATGCCCCAAGTCATTCTTCGGTCTTATTTCTGCCAATATGGACATTAATCCTGAAAATTCAGAGAAATATCATGACAATTTAATCACTGGCAAAGGTAGTTTGTTCTCATAGCCTGGGCTGCTGCTAGTCTCTAGTGATTTGGGGTGAACACATATACAGGTAGACAGAAGGACTGCACAGTCCTTAGCGGCACTTCACAGGGCTGGAGATAGGTGTGGCAACACTGACTTGAACCAAGATACAAAGGCATACTGAAGGGGACTGCTGTCACAGGAGCTATGCGGAGTTTTCCTAGATTCCTATTTTCTGGGGCTGGTCCTGCTCTTTTGAATTTTAATATTACAATATTCAAAGGCAATTGGCTTAGCTTCCCTGCCCTAAGGATCTGGGGAAAGAAAACTGATAAGTCTATATCTTATCACAGTTGAAAAGTGGTGGATTCCTTAATATTCAGGCAAGATTTAAGAAAATCATAGAACTGGTTTCAGAGACAGCAAGAGCACCTATGGTGGTAATAAATAAAGTCTGTTTTGGAGAGGCTCTTTGAAATATAACAGGAGGTACTTGGAACTAAATGAGGTATCAAAATGAGGTATACAGGCATATCCTCAAGTACTACTCAGATAGAAGTATTAGAATTCCTATGCATATATAGCACATTCTATTATTTCAATGACAGAGCAAGAGTACAACTTTCATTATTTAATAAGGTAGTAAAATTTCCACCTTAAAAAATTATATTGGCTTCATTGACTTCATTTCAAATAAATTTATTTAGAATTTAATTAATTTTACTGTGTATATAGCATGTTTTGAGAAATTAAAAAATAAATATATAAATTTAAGATATTCTCTCCTTCAGGAAGCTTATAATCTTCTTTAGGAAACAAAGCTTAAAACATAAAAAATCTAGAAAACAAGACAGTATACAATAATGGTCTATATACACCCTAGCATTTTCAGGGAAGGTAAATATTGCTCAGTAAGTGTTAGCTCCACTTACTGAATAATGGAATGACATGATGGAGCAGTGTCTTAGAAGAGAGGTCTGATGATACCCAATGGGATGGTATGATTTGTGGAAAAGGTATCGAGAGGTTGGAAAACTGGTTAGTTGGTTTTGTAGACAGGACTTAGTCCTAGACAGGACGATAACCGTGGAAATAAAAAGGAAATAGTATACCAAAAGAGAATACAGAAAAAAGTCCAGAAGTCATGATTACTGATTTGGGGTGAACACATATACAATAATTTTGATTAATTATTGATCAAATGTTGAGGATAAAAGGGGCAGGTCCAAAAGTGGATTCCTGGATTCCAACATGACTGAACATGTATTGTTACAAGAAGTAGGGAAGGGGGATTTTGGTTAGAGGAGAGGAAAGGTCAGTGAAATGGTTGTGATTTAATCTGAGGTTGCTATTAACAGCCTGCTGGAAATATCAGGTGGCTGCTGGAAATACTAAATTGCCAGAGGGTAAAGGGATTGGTATAGAGTAAAAAATAAATCAGGAAAGGGCAATTATACTTAGAAAGAATGAGAAAAATCATTTCATGAGAAGGTAAAGAGAAATTAGTAAAAAACCGGACTTAACTTTAAGAAACATAAAGGCCAGAAAAGAAGTTCACACAAGTATGGTCTTTTCAGGCAAATAGAAGGAGTTTAACAGCTCAGAGTGAAAATGGTAGGTAACTGCTTAAGAGTGGTAAGATATATATTTCTTTATTACTCACAGCACAAAACATTTTTTGTTGAAAATGAGAATATTTTAGATAAAACCAAAATGCCATAAGCACAAAAAGTTTTACAAATTTTTATTGATAGCTTCTTATGTGCTTGATTTTGTAGAAGGTACGAAAGCTAAAAACCAAGAATCCGGGCTTCCCTGGTGGCGCAGTGGTTGGGAGTCCGCCTGCCGATGCGGGGGATGCGGGTTCGTGCCCCGTTCCGGGGGGATCCCACGTGCCGCGGAGCGGCTGGGCCCATGAGCCATGGCCGCTGGGCCTGTGTGTCCGGAGCCTGTGCTCCGCAGCGGGAGAGGCCACAGCGGTGAGAGGCCCGCGGACCCCCAAAAAAAAAAAAAAAACAAGAATCCCCCAAAAGGCAAACATTGTTCTTTCTCAAGGTACAGTCTACGTAGTGGAGTTTTAAAGCTAATTATCACTGAATACTTACTATGAACTATAAGCATTGTCTAAGTACTTTACATGTATTAATTCATTTAATCCTAACAGTAACCCCTTGTGGTAGATTCTGTTTTTATCTTCATTTTACAGATGAGAAAACTGAGCCACAGAGAGTTTACCATATAGTTATACAGCTAGTCAGTGCAACCCACAAAGTGTGGTTCTAAAGCCTATTTCTTGACCACCATAATAAAGATTCATAAAAAATTATATTTATTATTAAAATAAGGCAGTAAATTCCAAGGGCTAATAAGAGACATAATAGATAAATGCAATGGGTGTCTGGAGGACAAAGAAATTACTGTGAAAGCAATAGTTAAGGAAGGATTTGTGGAAAATGTTAAGAATTGAATTGGCCCTTAAAGATGGGTTAGATGGACAGAGAAATAAGGAGTTGAAAAGGAGGTTTGATAAGTGGGAAACTATATGAACCAGGAATACATGTGTGAGAAACCAAATTTCCTAGATAAAAATCTAAGAAAATATTACCAACCAAATGAATTAAACTGATAGTTAAATATTTAGTTCCTGTATCCCACTTTACAACTACTCTAACTGCATAATATTTAACTAAAAGTTCTCTTTGTAGGTTAAAACAAATATGCAACAAAAAAATATTTCCAATTAGACAAAAAAGGAAGATGAATATATTTACAACCTAGTCCCATTTGGAGCCCAAATGAATGATCTCATTTAACCCTCATAAAAGTCCATGAATCAGACAATATTATTCACATTTTATGGAGGCAGAAGTTGGGGCACAGAGAATTTAAGTTACTTGCCAGAGGTCAATGAGTAGGTGGCAGAGCCATAATTTGAACCAAAGCAGTTGAACTCTGGGCCCATACTCTTATTCCTATAAGGAAGACACCATATGACTCTTAAAAACAAAAACAAAAACAAAAAACCCTGAAAAGTTTCACTATCCTTATACTTGCTTACCTTGAAGACCTGCATATTTAAGAGATGACCAGTTTGGTATGTTATAACACCCTCCACCATCTTCTTGTTCTTCTGATTCACATCGGTAAAGTACCTGATTTAGCTCAGCCAAAGTTAATTTAGAGGCAATACTAAAAGTTGGAAAATAAAGAAAACTGGTTAAACATACTGAAATTTCACTTGCTTTCAATAAAAATAAAGAAAATCTGAATCATAACAAAAAATGTTTTAGCAATGTATGTTTTAGGAACTCAGCGTTATACTATACATTGTAAACAATATACATTTATAAATAATAGAGGATAAACATGCTAAAACTCAATTAGAAGTAACATTTCTCCCAAGCCAAGGAAATAATCAAGTGCTAAATTTTATTAATTAGAAGTATACTGGAAAAATCTTTTGGTTGCTATATCCTTTATCTTATAAATTTGTTTTTAATCTTTCTAGTTCAGACTTAGTTTTTCCTCTCCTTTATATTCTCCTATGTGGGGCAATAAGAACTTTTTATGCTAATTATCTTAAACTCAAAATAATTATCAAAAGACCAATAAAAGGATAATCAAAAGTCACAGTTAACGACCTTAGAAATCATGTGTTACTCTACTGCTACATTCCTCTCCTCTTCTCCTTTCAGCTCCTAAGGTTGCATTACCCTTCAGCTTGGTTGTTTAAGAAACCAGATTTTCTTAGATAAAGATGTTTCTTGATAATGAGCAGAAGGAAGTGTTTAACTATCATCGCCTTGGTTTCCCTTTGTCCAGTTAGCAGTGAGATTGTGTAAATGAATACACCTGAATGCAACTGAAACCCTACTTTCTTTTCTTGCACTTCTAACTGCTCAGTTATATAATTTCATTTTATATAACTGAATACATATCCTCTGAGCTTAGAAAATTGTCAGCTGTGCTTTGTTCCCTCGGTCTTTGTTAGCCTCCCTCCTCCCAGCTGGGACTGACCCTTCCTCGGCAATTTGTGAATCAAGAGTGAGTCAAATCTATCAGTAGCCTCAGTACCAAGTCCATTCTAGTGCAATATTTTTCAAGATGTAGTCAGTGAACTCCTTGCATAAGAATCACCTGGAAAGCATATTAAAGTGTAGATTTCTTGATCTTGTCCCAAAATAATCTAAGTAGCTCTGATGAGGAATGTGCATTTTATAAACATTCCATAGAAACACAAAACTGCTTCATCACAGATTTTTCTTTAGAATGTAACTACTAAGCATGGTTTGAATTAAGAGTTAATACCCTTATTAATAAAAGCTCTTAAAAAACAACAAAGACAATTGAACAGAACAGAAAAATGAGCTAATATGTAAAATGACATATCACCAAATAAATACAAATGGCTGATGAACAAACAAATTAGCTTAATATTTAAAATAAATTGAGATATCATTTTAAAGTATTTTATATTTACCAATTTGACTAATAATAGCTAACACTTACTGATCACTCACTCTGTGTCAAACACTATTCTGTGAGTCACTATAATTATATCTCTTAGGTAACTTGCCCAAGGTCTTACTTCTTACAGCTAAGAGTCTGAAATTAGACTCAAACCCTAGCAGTCTAGTCGCATCCTCTATGCTGTTAAACATTACAATAATATATACTCAGTATTAGTAAGGATGTGTGATATTAGACTCTTTTACATAGAGCTGAAAATATTAATTAATATAATCTTTCTGGAGTGGATTTGGCAGTATTAAAAGCCTCATATATACAGACAGTCTAACTCAGAAATTCCAACCCTGGAAATTATCCTAGTACTCATGATATCAAACATATATTGAGTATTCGTTATGTGCCATGAATTGTGTTAAGTGCTTTATATGCATTATCCTAGTTAATCCTTACAAAAACTAAGAGGTAGGAACTATTATAAGCCCCATTTTCCAGATGAGGAAACTGAGATGAAGAAAGTCTAAATAATTTGTTCAAGATCATACTGACAGTGGTGAAGCTGGAGTTAAACACGGCCTTAAATTTCAAAACCCATACTCTTTAGTACTATATGGTACCACCTAGCAAGGGCATGATTAGTAAAGGAATAACTAAGGATTTATGCAAAGATGAATGTACAAAGACATACATAATAGGGAATAATTGGGAGCAATTCAGCTGTCCAAAAAATGTAGACTGATGAAATAAATTATGGTATAGCCATATATTAGAATAATGCATTGACATTAAATAAATGAAGTGGTAAGAAGTATGATGTATGCAACTTAGTCTCAAATAGTTCAGAAAAACTGTGTGTGTATGTGTATAGAGACGTGTATATAGATAGATATGTATAGCATATATATGTATACATGTCTATCTATCTATCTGGGAGTGTATGAGTGAGAGAGCATGCTTGCATACACAGGCACAAGCCACAGGACAAAATGTTAACACTAAGTGATGAAAATACTCCTGGTCCTTAGACTATCCTTTAAGCAACAAGGATATAGAGGACTCTTAAAACTGCTTAAATCAGGCTTGCGGTAACTTATCAGTTATCAAAGTGCAAATCTCCATAAAATAAGGCATACTTACGAAGCAAAAGGAATTTTTAATATAGGATCTGTGTTGTCAACAGCAAGACTCCCAGATTTAAAATGAGGACTGAACTGTGTCAGATGATTTCGAAGAATTCCAACAGCAGCTTGTGCATGTGGATCAAGACTAACTCTGAAACCATTAATTAAAATATGGTTTATTTTTAGGAGTAATTTATTCAAAATTAACAGGATATGTAAAACACTTTAAATATAAGTAAAGTTAACAGTTTGAACTCTAATTAACATACCTGAATATAATAACACTTCCAGGAGACAAATTTTCAAATTCTATTTCTTGAATATATTCATTGGGTCCTTTTGTGGTAATTCCAGCTTCTTTAACAATTTTACTTTCATTAAGCTTGAAAAAAATTAAATAAAACTGTTCAGTAAATAATTCTAATGTCCTTAAAATGTTAAACACAGTAGTGGGATGAGAGTCCCAAATACCTGAATATGTTCTCTAATTTCTACTGTGATATTTGGCATTCCATTGATTGAACTACCATCCTTCCTGTAAGGTTCCGTATTTCTCTCAACAGTTCTAGCTTCAAGAACTACTTCTTCAATTTTACCTAGAAATATATAAAAACTTTAGCAAAATTTCATATTAAACCATCTGAAATTAAGAATTGGTAAAGAGGTTTTACATCACTTAACTTAAAGTTGAATATGAAATATCAGTTAATTAAAAAAAAAGTCTGAAAGTAGATAATTCTACCCAAGATGCAGCTTTTACACAATGCTTTAAAAAAAAAATCACAACTTAATTAACAAAGCTTTATTTGAAAAGAGATCTTATCAAGTAATAATGGCTTAGCTCTTACTACAACCTTCCTAATATTGAGTGGAGAGACAGTAGATCAGTTGAAAGGCTTACATTTAAAAAATGGAATATTTCAAAGACAGAAAAAATAGGGGAAAATTTTAAACACCCAGATCTCTTTACCTCACTTAAGAAAACATTCCAAATCCAACTGATGTCCCTGTGTACCCTTTCTCCCCCTTCAGAGGTTACCACTACCTGAAGGTTGGGGTTCATTGATCCTGTGCATTTTTGCTACATATGTATGTTTCCCTAAGCAATATATACTATTCTCCATATGTCCAAGTTTATTTAAGTGGATTCAAGTTATATATACATTTCTGCAACTTCCTTTCTATTGGACAACACTGTATTTTTTAGGTTTGTTCAGCTAATATAGATTAGCTCTACCTCATTTATTTCAAATGCCAAATAGTATTTCACTGTATGAATATACCAAAATGCATTCATTTTATTAATATTGTTATTCTCTACTATAAATAATGTTACAATAAATATTTCTGTGCATATTTCCTAATGGAAATGCAGAAGAGTTTCTCAGATATATACCTGGGAATAGAATTGCTGGACCAAAGGATATATAAAACTGTGTTATTATTTAAATTATTTAAATAATTTGAACCATTAATCTGACAATGAAAGACTTTCTGATCCAGAAATCTACTTCTGGAAATATATACTAAGAAAATTGTTCAAAAGAAAAAGAATTATTCCTAGTGTATATTCAAATCTTAAAGAACACTGCTAAACATACCCCAAAATATTAAAAATGGAATACTAACATAATAAAATATGAAATATTTAACATAATGAAAATCACAATTTTGTGGACTGATAAAGTGGAAAATGTTTTAAGGATGATCGCTGACCAAAAAAAAAAAAAAACCCCTGAGATACTACCATATACACTGAGTGCAGCCATGTAAAACTCTATATGTATATTAGCAACAACCAAATAAGATTACTGAATGCAAACATGTGACTAGTCAAAAAAAGTAATAAACATTTAACTCTGCAACTATTCAAGTTGATAATTTCTAAAAATGGGAGTTATGAATATTTAGCAACTAGCAACCAATATAGAATATGATGATTTTTATGAGAATCTTCATTCACTCAATTAAACAACAGACTTGGACAGCTGCTGTATGCACAGGAGCATGTTATGCCACAATATATTATATATAATAATAAGGAAGGAAATGAAATACACATGTCTAGAAAAAAATCAAGCAATACTAAGGATATATCTCAAGGATGTATTTTATAACTAAGTGTCAGAGTGATATAGAGAGAATATAATTACTTTATGTTCAGAGGAGAGAGAGTTCACTGAATACTTAAAGAAAGATTCTCAAAGGAGGTGAAACTTTAGTCCTTGAAAGATGTAAAGAATTCATAAATAAGTGTAAGTAAGACTACTTGGGGAACAGTGAAAATACCTATTTGGTTGAAATAGTGGAGTGACACAGGGCCAGGAAGGTAGGTGAGGATGGATTATAAAGAGCCTTAAATATTAAACTATTTTCCATTTTGGTTTATATATGTAAATATGTGTATACACATACATAAAAACACTTGGACACACATATGAATATATGTATATACATATATACAAACACATGAACATACATATATATTTTCCTGGGTATAGAAGAAATACATGTTCATTTTATACAAATTAGGAGATAAGGGAATGTATTAGGATGAAAACAAAATCACTTCACAACTCAAAAAATGTTAACATTTGAGAGTATTTTCAGGTTTTGTTCCATGTAGTAAAAATATAAGCTATCAAAAATTTCTAATGCTTTTTCTCAACTACATCTACACTTGCACTGTGTTACAATGTACACAATATGTAACAATTTAATAATATTTATTATTATTAACAATTTAACAATATAATCACAGTAACACTTTTTAGATCCCATTACCAGGGATGCACATTTGAGGCACTTCCTTGCTGTAAAATGAAGTCTTGGGATTCCTGAAAGCAGTTCTAGACACAGATACAACTGATTGATGGATACTAGGTGAGTGTCTTGTTACTGCCACTATGTCTTCATCAACTTGATCCACATACACCTGAGAAACAAAGAGAAAACACATTAGTGCTCAAATTGGGAAGACTCTAAAATTGAACCTTAAGAAATAAATCTAGAAAATTTAGTTTCTTGCCTGAATAAAACCCTTGGCTCCAAGCTCTTGGTGAAGTTTATTGATGGCACACCTGGCTGCAATGATGCCACTTTGGAAATTAACTTCACCGAAATTGGATGGTGATGCTGCAGGATTCCACTTAGTGTAAAACCGTTCTTCAGAAACTACTGAAATCTGAACAAAATTAAAACTTAGCCATGTGTACGTTTTAATTACAATGAGAACTTTTGGTAAAAATGATCAAAATTTTTTGCCTTGTAGATTTTAAAAAACAACACATAAACAAACCTGATGAGGCACTAATTCGTCATAGCCCTTAGTACTTCCACTAGCACAACATGCCATAGAAACAATCGTGGAACTTGGGAGAGCATCATATGCTGACCTATGCTAGAAAACAATAAAAAAACAAAAACAAACAAACAAAAAACCCAAAAGTTTATTTTCTTTCAAATGCAAAGTGCCATCCTATAGCATAATTAAGTAAAAGGATAAGTGCATAAATACATTCGATAAGATACATTCATTTGCTTTAAAACAAATAACAAAACGCTCAAAAACCTTTGTATCACAATCACTAAGGCACTATTTTGAAGTTTTGTGGATATTACTACCACTAAATAGCAGGGAACTAAATATCAAAACATTTAGCAAAATCAGTAAATACAAGAAACACGTTAATGCTTACCACAATAGGACACTCATTATCATGGGTAACATCCATAAACAGGGCATGTGCAATAGCTGGCATTAAAGGCCTCAAACAGGGCTGAACGAAGGATCCAACAGGTTCTCCTCCATATCGGTAAACTAATCTGCCCTCTTCATGACTGTCATATGCACTCATTGCCTCTGCAAGGCATTACAGAATATTTTAACAATCTTCATTATCAATGTCCAAGAAGAGATTAGATTACGTATCATGACTGATTTTCAAAAAAAGACCACATAAATATTATAAAAAATAAAACTGCTTTAAACATTTAAACAAATGTCCATTAGTTTAAATGACAAAAAAGTCTTCTCTGTAACTTAACCAGAGAAATGGTTCATGCAGGTAAAACGGAACATATGTTGTTTATTAGGATGTTGGTTATATAAAATCTATGAAGAAAAATCTAAAGATTATATCACATAGGCAGGTAGGAGATGAAAAACAGATTTGTATAGTTTCAATAACCAAAAAAAATGGTTTTGTTCATGAATCATCAGTTCATTCCACTGCTCTTTCAAGTTAAAATGAGATATTTTACCCCAAAGTGGAAATTTTTACTGATGAAAACAGACTAAGTTATACTAGGAAATTCTGAGTAGAATATTTAAAAGAACAGTAACTATGTTGAACATTATTAAATGCTGTATATAAAGCTATTAAATGCCTTTTAATCTACTTAAACAAAAACTAAAGCTTTAGATGGGAAAAACACTTTCAATAAGCCTACCTCTTATTAAGGAACTAATGCCCAGTCTAGTAACAAAGATATTGTCCAGGTCTTCACTTCCTGTGAACAGTTCAGCTACTACATATAAATTGGGTTGCAATTTCCTAGCAGCATCCAACATGTACTGCAAAAAGCACAGTTACAAATGTAACAGAAAGAGAAAAGCAAGATGGTGCAGGGGAAGGAGAGGAGGCAAGATTAGGCATGGATTTGACAAAGGAAAATATCACGTAGCAAGACGAAATGGAAATCCAAGAAGAATTTCCAAATAAAGTAATTGTGCATATGTAAGAAAACATAAAACAAACCAATACACACAGGAAACAAGAGAATTTATAAAGACAATATAACAGTTAAAAAGGAAGATTAGATTTTGCAGATATAGGGACACAAGGGGGAGGAAAAAAGAGAGAAGAAAAATGTTAGTGTCACATTAAAAAATGTAAACCATAACACTGCAGTTCTGCTAGGATTTTCCCCCATTTTATGTTTGTTTTTAATACCTCTAATCAGACCATTAATTTCCAGGCACTTGACTAAGCTATTCATGATAAATTCCCTACTGGTGAATCATTTAGCTATTGCAAAGATTAGGTCTGACCAGACTGAAGCCAGTTTTTCCTACAGATGATAATAAACTTTTTTTTTTTTTTGGCCATGCTTTGCAGCTTGCAGTATCTTAGTTCCCCGACCAGGGACTGAACTCAGGCCATTGCAGTGAAAGCACTGAGTCCTAACTACTGGATCACCAGGGAATTCCCCAAAACTCTTTTTTTTTTTTTCCCCAAAACTCTTAATCAGAAATCAGATCAATTCCAAAAAGTTTTTTTAACATAACATTTACACAAAGACTAATAAAATACTTGAAATTCTATCAAGTAAGATCCTAGAGGATTATGTAACTTAAAATTAAGCAAATTAAATTTTAATATTCTAACTTTTGTCATAATGTTATAACAATCTTAAACGTGTATTTTTTTTGATGTTGCCATAAAGGCACACATAAAAAATCCTCTGCCATTTTTTGAAGCTAAAAAATGTCTACCACCTTAACTAATGTTCATTAAATTCTTCCAAATCAAATCAATTTTTCATCACAGGACTTGAAACATATACATTATAATACTGCTTTAAAAGTATAGAAATAGATGTTTTTCAGATAAGCACACATTTCCAAAGAACACTAACTTGTGACTAGAAAACTATCAAAGATCTTATAAACAGAATGAAAATTTGAAGTGTTCACAAAGCTGCAAAACGTAAAAGATAATGCTGTAAGTGTTGGCATTGCTTAAGTTACTGTAAAAAACCCAAAGAGGAATAGAAAACTTTTATGTTTACATTTACATTTTTATAAACAATTAATAAAAATTGAATCAATGAGGCTAAAATAGTTTCAATATGCTGTAATGTTAGGGTTTAAATAATCATTATAATATGAAATAAGCTATTCAACTTCACAGTGGCTACTAATGTATTGAAAGCAACCTAAAAATAACAAGAATAAGACAAATTAATATTTATATATTAAAATATTAATGATTAATTCTGTTAAAATATTAATATTAAAATATGAATATTTTAATAATATATATACAGCAATATGGTTGTGTGTGTATTATCAGAGACAATATAATGTTCTTCCCTAACTTAAAATAAAAATATTAACTCAAGGGGCTTCCCTGGTGGCGCAGTGGTTGATAGTCCGCCTGCCGATGCAGGGG